AATTACTCTTGGAGTAAGCGGATTGCGATCCGCTAAGCTCGTACTTGTTCTAAGTATATAACAAAAGGTCGGTGACCTAAGTTACGCTTCCTTAACGCGCAACACTATGGCAGCCCCGTACCGTATTCTTGTTTGGGTATGGTCACACCATGCCCATCTGGTGTGACACCCCCCCCTGTTACCAGGGTATGTGTAACCCCGTTACATGAACAGTGACACACTCTTGATTTTCTTTTCAAGGTCAATACCGGAACTGAAGTATGTAACTGCTACCGATTTGAGGAAAACCAATGTTCTGCATGAGAGCTATCACAGCATCGTTCTCGCGCCTGAAGCGTTTGTACTTTCTGGCGTAGGTAAGTTTCGGACTCAAAAGAGACCCACTGGAGAAAAGTGCGTGGCACCTAACATGTTGGGTGGGTTGACTTGTGGTCAACTCATGGCACATGGCTTTAGGCACACCACACCAAAGATACGATCGTATTTTGAATCAAGGTCCAGAACAGAAAACGGTTCACACTGCCAAAGTCTTTATACTTCACTCGAAGATCAAAAAACTTGTACTAGTGTCCTCATCGCAAGACGCACGGATATTGTATCGGTATGTTGCATTTTTAATGCCTCTACGTGCTATTGGCTGACGTTTTGGAAGCATGACTAACTATTCTGGGGACAGTTCGTAATACAGTCCAGGGTCAGAGTGATGGTCACTTCTTGATCTCCGCAAAAAAAAATCGTCTGTGAAAAAAAAGATATGCTCCTAAAGTGCTTTGTCTCAATTGCGTTTCTACACGGTTTTAGGATATTTCGCTGAGAATTGACGTAAATGTTAGTCATGGCTACACATTTTTGGCCAGCACTGTACATCTCACCACATACTCTAAAGTCATAGCACGACTCAGTCGTGGGGATGACTGCAAGTACTTCCAAGCGCAACGGCATTGCCGCGCACTTTTACGCAGAGGAAGTATTGACTCAAAGGAGTTTTTCGTAATAAACGCACAGAGGTTGGGCTCGTACATTTTAAGTAGTTGCGGAACCAAGAGTCTTTAATGTAGCTAATTGTCTTACATTCCAATTTTCTTACTAAAGACACCATTTGTCACTGAAATGAATTTACTGCGAATCTTTAAATTATCTTGCTGTCCCCAATTATTCAAAGATACGGTCATGATGAAAAACATTTGGGTGGTGTCGTGCCGCGTATGTACGTCCAGCTCGCCCTCCTACTCATGAATTTACTGCTAGTTCGAGATAGACCGCCCCGATCACACTAGCATGGCAGCTACTAAGCCCTGCAGGCCACCATTCCCAATTATAATTATAATCGCTCAAGAAATTGCTCGACAAGGACATCATGTATCCATAGTGTGAGAAGTTCCTATGTAGGCGTTGGAGAGATTGAAGTTAGTACCAAGTGTTGCGTGGTGCTACCTATCTGTTAGTTGTGCGCTGATATCTCTACATACCGTTCATTTTCTATCATTTACATTCTCAATGTCTATGAAAGAATAGAATAATGTATTTGTTATCATATCAATCTCGACTCAATAATCCTTACCTGACCACATCATCGTTTGTAAGTACATGCCGAGTGGTTCACACTAAGGCCAAGGATACAGAAGTTCCGTCGCAGCTTTTTTAGCTGCGTGTTCTCCGTTAAGAAGCTTGACCAGCGTCAGAGCAAATTTCAGCACTACACCCGGGCCCTGGCATGTGACGCAGCGAGTATCCACGACAACATCTTCGTTCACAAATTCGCGCGTCATTTCGGGCTCGTTTGCAATTGAGCAGGTAGCTCGTTCACCTAGCAACCCATGCGGGTTAAGTACCACCGCGGGTGCCGAAGAACATGCCGCAATCCAGCGTCCAGCCTGTTTCTGCCATAATAACATTTTAATTACAAGGTCCGAGTCCCGCAAGTGGCTAGCTCCATCGCCCTTTACAAGCACAAAGCAGACCATTAGTTCGAACCATTCAATAAGCAGCTTGTTCATTGATAAACTCACCCCAGGCAATACAAGAATCTCAAAATTCTCGAAACTGCACTCTTCAATAGGCTTTTCGGCTAGAATGCGCAGACCATGATTGCCCATTATAATGTTGTTTTGGGTTCGCCCAACCGATCCAATAGTGACATGAAGACCTCCACGGATTAAAACATCGGACAAGACCAACGTTTCAAGTTCTTCACTGCCATCAGCTACCACTATCAAAGCGCGAGGCTTCACATGTGGTAGCGCTTGGACAGGAAGGTATTCATTGCCTAACGGAACGTACGCGGTACTACCAGCCAGCATGTTTGCCACTTTCGTGTCGATAAAGTTGTGAGTTAATCAACGCGGAGCATTCGCAGCTTCAACACCGTTAAAATAAAGGACATGTGGGAATAGCCAAAGTGAACTTCAACGAGGCCATTGACCTCAAGACGAAGAGATCGCACTCTTTTTTATTGCATACGAGAAAGATTGACTAAACATGGCTCGAATCGCTCAAGCAATTAGTGAAATCGTGACTCCAAAGCCCACGGCGCTCGTTCCAATTGCAAGTATTTTTATAATTTAGCATCGTAGAAAACAAACTTTGTATCTTACAATGTTGTTGACAAATGTGTAGACCATGGGCAGTGAAGAGATTGAAGTGGCGGCACTGTGCGATATTCTCGCTCGTGGTGGGGTTCGTGTTACAGTGGCAAATGTTGGCGGATCCCTTCACCACATCATCAAGCTCGCTAAAGGTACAGGTGTGCAAGCAGACAAGCCGCTCGAGTTCTGCGTCAATGAAGAATACGATGTCATTGCGGTGCCCGGTGGACCTGGAGCGAAGACTTTAGGTGCTTGTCGGATGCTAACGACACTACTGAAAAAGCAAAAGACTGCTAAGAAACTTTATGCAGCAGTTGGTGAAGCTACCTACGAAGTGCTTTTTCATAATGCGCTAGTTGAAGGTCCGATGGCTGGTGATCCTGCAGACAAACTAATCATGAGTGATCTGTACTTTGATGATGATGTGGTTATAACGGAAAATTGCGTGACGAGCAAAGGGCCGGCAACAGTCATCGCCATGGCTGTGACCCTTTTGGAATTACTTCGTGGTGAGAAGATCGCGCGCTCAGTAGCAAAAGATATTGCTTTCAGGACGATGAAAAAAGAAGGATCGAACATTTGATTGCTTGCTGCACGTATGTAAGCTAAGATTAGTAATTGAGCAAAAGTCGTATTGAACACAGAATTCATTGATCTCCCTTGATGCAGCAAACATTGGATCAAGGACAGTAAAGAAGCTCTTGGACAAGTTATTGAAGGTCAGCGAAGTCGAGGTTTATAATCAAAATATTCAAATTAATTCAGATTTAACTTCGACCATTACGTCCAATATGAAAACCAAATAATCCAGCATGAAGTCAAAGCTTATGTCTTGCCAGTAAGCTGGTCAGTCTTTGAGTCGTCCATATCACATATTTTGACAAAGATTTAGCCCCTCTAACCAACCTAAAAAAGGATTCCTTTTCTGGTCCAGACGAAATTGTTGCTATTCAGTCTTTAACCTTAAAACGTGGATGAGTGCAACATATCGCATGTCTAAATGACCTAATATCATTTCAAACCACAGTGTCTCGATTTGGACGCTTTGGATTATGCAAAAGAATGGCTATGAAGAGCCTTGCACCTTGCCGCCTGATCCTTTGTAAGCACAATACCCTTGTAAAAGTGGCGGCCCAGCTTGTCTCGCAGGCAAATGTCCTTTTCTGTGTTCAATAGCTCCTGCAACGCATCTACATCTCCAACTCTAATATCACATCGACGTGTCTCGTCAATTCCGCACACGACGTATACGAAGCTGTTTCCACGCGACCAGGCCGTCTCTTGCTGTCCTTGTTCGTGAAAGTGCGATGCGGCACTGAACGGATTTTGTTTGGGCAACAACAACATCTTAGCGCCTATAATACGTGACTGTACTGCAAATTCTCCATTCATGTCTGCGTAGTCATTAGCACAGGTAAAAATTGCCGGAATGTTTGACTCTGCAATACGGTAGAGATCCGGTAGCCAGCTAAAGAGCAGTTCGTGCCGATGCGAGTCCACAAAATTGCCAAAACCTGTGTTGTATCCTACAATGACGGATGCCTGAGGCGCACATTCGCCGTACAGTTGCGATTTTTGAAAGCTTCCAAATGTTCCTTTAAAATGATGAACTTTAAGATTGAAGGGCAAAGCGTTATTGATTCTGTCCGCGTCTGGCTCGTCGACTTCAGGGCCAATAAAAAACAGCGTGACCTTTGCTTTAGCAAAGAAAGAAGAAATTTCGTTCCAGTAATTTGTAATGCGCAATACGCGCTGCTCTGCTTTTCGGGAGGATCCAATTATTAGGACACGTAAATCAGAGTCCACGCTTAGCTCTAGCTGTTGCAATACATGCAGCAACGTTATGGGAAAGCTTAGTGCATCCAACATTGATGGATCGTTCACAGCCTTGGCCACAAGGTCCGCATTGCTGTTAGGGGAACTTCTAGAGACTAGAAATTCCTTCCAGCCACAAGACAAATCTACTGAGCGATTCGGAAACGGCGGAAGGAGCGGAAACTCTTTGGACTCAAGCCAGCGAAATGTGCCGCTATACATCCCGTCTCCTCGCGGATCTAGCTTGAGATGCTGCATATCTACAGCATGCGACATTGTGTGGTCAGTCACAAGTGGAGGTTTCTTTGTACTCAATCGTTGCCGTCGGCTCTTCTTTCCCATGAAAAAACTATCAAAAGTGCGATCATGAAAGGTCACATTCTTCCCACACATGACAATCAGCATTATACTCTATTATATCCCTATTTATCACATACATTTTCGGCATACTTACCGGTACGGAGATCGGTATGATAGGAATGTGGAGTCTCTAAGCTCAGTCACTATTCGAGTCGAGAAAAAAAGAGACACTAACCAAGGCTTCAGCAGCAGAGCGCGAGCCTCCCTTAGGGTGTGTTGTGTCGTGAGTGAGTTTGTACCATGGCAGACATGAACCGCCGCAAAGGAGGCATGCGCTCACAGCAAAGTCACTTGCAACAGCAAGCGGCAACGTCTCAGCAGCAGATGTCGGCCTTCCAGCAACAAATGCAATCTCAAGCTCAGCTTAATCCATACCAATATCAGCAGTATCAGCAGCAGCAAAGTAAAGTGCCGATCTTTCATCCTAATCTTACTGCTCCTTACCGTAGCGTCATCCCCGCGGCTCGCCCGCCCGCTCAGAAATTCTCAACGAGTGGGGCTAAAATGGGTATAAAAAGCGGCATGACGGTGGAAGATCTCAAACGATTGACGCAAAAGAGAATGCAGCAGTCTGGTGCATCTAATCCAGCAACTCCCAAGACATCGGCACTTGAAAGCTTTTCTAACTCACGACCAGCAACGCCCAGACTCAACATGGCCGTGGTAAACGCCACTTCGACACCCGCGGTAGTTGCCACTCCACCAGTTGTTCCCAAAACTGGCATGTCAGTGCAGGAGCTAAAGCAACTTACAGCGCTTCGTGTGGCGTCACAGAATGTCCCGGTACACGCCAATGAAGTCACGGGATTTGTGAGTAATGCAGTGCTGAACAATGCAACCAAGTCTCAGTACCGTGACGGTCTGCGCACGTCGCTCACGCCGGGAAATACACCCAAGCGCTCCTATCATACTAGAAGCAGCAGTAGTACGCATTTTGGCTCTGCACAGTACAGCTCTTTTGGAAACGATCTAAGTCGTAGTCATGGACCTCTTAGCTCCGAACCATCAAGTGATTTAAATTCGGACCGTGGCCACCGCAGCCGATCTCAAAGTTCACAGTTACCCAATGTCGATTACTCGGTGAACGATATGCCCACGCGCTACTCTTATACCAGCAGCCTCACGCCAGAAGACTACTTTTCATCGTACGATCTTAACACCAGTGGTGATAATATCGATTTATCTTATGGAATGGATCCTGATCACAGTAATCCCGGTAAGGATACAATCTATAAGCGGAACGCACAGTTGCAATTTGCCGAAGAATCTTTTCCTCCACCACCACCGATGGATGAAAGTGGCGGCTTTGTATCCACTGCCCTCCCGTCGTGGTCTCCACCGCCCGCTAGAAGCAAGAAGCTTAACGCCCCAACAAGTACAGGTGCAACATTTTATAATCAGCAAACTTCATATTATAACATCGCGTCAAAGGACGAGCCTACCACCCTAAGTGATAGTGGAGGTGGTATCAATCAAGACCAAAATGTTCTACTTGCACCTCCACCCGGACTTACAAGACGACCATCAATGACGGTGCCTTGGCAAGTAGCTGAGGCCGTGCTCAATACACCTCAGACGAACACTGGGCGTAAAAAGCTAGTAGATGCAGACGCCGACCCCAATTTAAACGGGCTTAACTCGTCTGCTGCAGCAGCTGCTGCACAATTAACGGGACTTTCTCTGCAGTCATCAACTCGAAGTCGGGGCAACGGCTCGCAGCCTCCTTCGTCACCGTCTGGAATTCTATCAAGCTCACCATCTTCTTCCGTAAACACGCCTCTGCCCTCTACTGCGCGTCGTGGCAGCTTCGGCAATGCTGCAGAATTCTTCAAATTTCGTCGACGTAGTAAAAGCCGTCTTGAACTTGCGCGTGACATGTCTTATATCGACAACGGAGAGCAGGGAGGATATCCAAGTTATGGTACGGTTGGGGCCATGCCTGGGATTGCTGAACGTCACGGTGAAGCTGACGATGAGATCCATGAGGATTCCGTCTCAGACATGAGTTCATCAACATCTATAAACGATGAATCCAGCTCGCAAGATTACACTGATGAGGATGTGGTCCAAATTACTGGTGGCTATGATGATACGAGAGAAATTTCGGGCAGCTTTGTGTCCTTTTACAATGCTTCACGACAGCAACAGGTTGGACTTTCTTCGTTGTCAATACCTCCTCCGCCGCCTCCCCCGCCAACACCTGACGAGGATGAAGTGGCGTCTGCCTCATCGTCAACAAAGGGCAATGGCTTGCCTATGATGTCACCGAACGGTGCACGGCTTCGAAAAGTAGCGGAATTAGCACGACGAGGCAGTTTAAGCAACGAAGACAAAACTCGTGTTAAGGACGAGATTATTCAAAACTCATTGGGAATCGGCGCGAGCAATGCCGCTCGCCTTCTTGCTAGCAAAAAGGAAGATAGGGGAGATCGTGTGCCAGCCACAGCACTGCCTCCTGGGTTTCTTGGTATGCCGCGCTTGACACCAAAGGCGTCTACCAAGAAGATGGTCACCCCTGGATCTGGAATAGTGAGGGCAACATCAAGCACCTCTGCAGGTGCAGCGGTGGCGGCTTCTGCTTTGAGTACTGGTACGGGATCTTCGGCATCATCGACAGCTTCCTTGGAGGAGCGGCTTGCTGCCGCAGCGCAAAGAGTGGCAGAATGTGTTGGTAAGGGGGATATGGTAGGATTTCAACAGGCAATGGATGACTTAGACTGGCTTCGTAACGAAGCAAGCAAGCTGATGCACGGATGAGCTAGAGTTTAAGGTGACAATTAGATGGGCTTCGCAGTGAAGCGGGCGAACGGATGAGTGAAGCAGACATGCGATGGATTACTTAGACCGGCTTTGTAACGAAGCAAGCAAAAAGCTGAATGAGTTAGACGTGAAATGGAGTTGCGTAGAACAATTACAGCCATGAGTAGCAATTACCACAAGGAGTAATATGACGGTTACAGACAACGACAGACAGCCTGGCAGATCCTGAACTAAACAAAATAAAAATAAACAAATATACACTAGCATGCCTAAAAGGTTGTAGCTGTCAACACGTCACAGCAAAATTTTGTATTTTTCAGTCGATGGCACGTGATTGACAGCCAGGCGGCCGTCATACGACACGGAAACGAACATCCACGCATCTCCACCGGCTGTCCAACGAGCTGCGTACACGGCATCCTCGTGCTCTTCAACACGTCGGATGAGCACATCTGCAACAGCGGCACCGTCAGCCGTTTCGTCCATTAGATCACGTTCATCCAGCTCCACTAAAGGTGACGATGAAATTGAAGATACTCGCCACAGAGCTAGCGTCGAATCGGAGCCTCCCGAGAGAACCAGCTGATCATGCTGCGGATGATATTTTGTACTCCACACCCAGTGCGAATGCGCGTTCATCACCAGTAGCGGCTTTTGCGCATATCGCAAATCCCAAAACTTGAGTTTGCCATCGTCTCCACCACTAGCAAGAGTGTGCGGTTTATTTGGATTAAAATCGAGCGACAGTGTGGCAGTGGGATGCGCGTCCTCGACACTTATGCGCTCTTGCTTTGCTCGGAGATCCCACGTGTGCACATTCCTACCGAGAGCAAAAGTTAGTTGCAAGGCATGGTGCGGGTCCCACACCAATGCGCTTGCGCCTTTCTTCGTAGTGTCTCCCATCATTGAAACGTCCAGCTCCAACTTTTCCTGCGCTTCAACTGATCCTTCATTTAGCTGCCACGTTCGAAGCAATGTCTCATGACTCGAAGCTAGCGTTGAAGTGGTATTTGTAGCGTCCCAAGCAAATCTACAGTGCACAATCATATCAGCTCGAGTCTACAAGATCCCGCCAAATTAGCTCATACTCAGACACTGGCAGCTTCTGCGCAGGAAACACCGACAACTGCTTCAGATTTGTAGCGGCACATTTCTCTTCTTCTAAATTACTCGTATCTGGCAGCTTCCATAATGAAGCCTCTGCTCGTTGACCTTGTTGCTTGCCGCAGGTGACCAAAAGCTCTCGTTCGTGAGGACTCGGCACCAGACACAGTACTTCCCCAGGGTGATTGCACACCTGGTGTGTGATAATGCTGTTGCCTTTGTCGTCTACTTCCACCAAATATATCTTAACAACAAACATAAGAGTGTGTTCTAGTGTCGGTAGGCTCAATAAGTACCTCATACCTGGTTGGGTTGATTTAATGTGCTAGTACCCACAAAGAAGTGCGAGCGATCCTTTTCTGCCACAACAGGCTCCAATGTTCGAATCTAATCAAATTGCTACGTTAGTTTATAGTGACATTAAGCCTCCATTTTATCTACCTTCGTGCCGAAGCTGAAGCTACACGAGCTGCCGCCGAACATTTGTAATTTAACTTACCGACTTTTTCCAAATTTTAATTTTCTAATGTCCTTTTACCTTGGATAAAATCTGTACTTGAGAAATGTGATAAATTGCAGACTAGTTATTTCTGCATAAATGAAAAATGTCTCTGCAGTTTTTGGGGCAGAAGTCATGGCATCCAGCCAGCAAAGCCAACCAGAAGCGCGTGTGGTCGCGGAACAGCAGGCAAAAGAAAGAGAAAAGTGTGAACTTGAAAAGGCGAAGGAATTGCGCAAGGCAGTCGAGTTGCAACGGGTTCAACAATTTGCTGCTGAAGCTGGGGACGTCAATGCCGCTCGTCTCGCTGACAGTGCACAGGTGAGTTTCCTGTACACTGTTCCCCCAGGACTTTCGGAAGCAAAAGAAAAGCTTGAAAAAAAGAGACAGACCGAAGAGGACGAAGCCGTCCGTGAATTTCGTCGCAAAGCTGAAAGACGAGGCGATCTGCAACGCTCTAAGCTTGAGCGATATGTTGGACGTCGAGCTGAGGAAACGCTCACGATCAAAGATCAAGTGGAACGTTTCCCTTTACTCAAAGGTGCTCCAGTAGAGGGCAAGTATACTGAGACGATCAAGGTTAACTTCAATCCAATGGGAGTTAGGCTACGCAACGTGCGGTGCATTCGATGCGGTAAATGGGGACATTTAAGTGGAGACAGAGAATGCAAGTTGCGGGACCAAAATCCAAACGGTAGTGGTGGGAATGTAATAACAGTTGGGAAATATTGTTGTGCTGAGAATTACGTAACGTTTTGAATGGATAGATGCCACGAGGCAGCGATGGGAGGACCCCATGACAGAAATAGAGAAACTTAAGTTGGCTAAGCAAGACCACGTGTTGAAGCAAGGATTGTTGCCTACAGAGATGCAAGCGGAACAAGATTTTACGATTCTGCAATCAGATGATGGTAAGACAGGCCGCAAGCTGCATGATTATTAAGTCGTGAATGTTGATGCTGATGTCGAGGCTGATAATTGGTACAGAAGATGTCGAGGCTGCCGAAATCGCAATGTTGGCGACTTTATTTACAAAACCAGAGAGAAGACGGACTAAAAAATGGAAGAAAGCGTTGCGAGACGAATCGGGTAGCGATAGTGGCACAGATTCATGTGCTCGTAGTCATCGACAAAAGAAAAAGACAAGCAAGCACAAACGAAAGCGTAAACGCAAGCATCGATCAAAAAGTTTATCTGACGACGATTATGATAAGCACAGAAGCAGTTCTCGTCGACGACAAAGTTAATTATATCTAAGTACGTCACGCTCGCGAAATAGTTAAGAATATATATATATCTTAAAGTTTTTGCAGCAATTTGACTGGATAATATCAACTAATATATTTAACAACTGGATCCAACTTCATTGTGTTATCTTAAATTAATGGGAAGAAATTGTTAAAATCATGTATACTATGTGAGTGGGACCCCTGTAGCCGAATGTACGGCAATTGAAACACGTGCAGTGGCTCGAGGAATGGCAGGAACGGCACTATTATGCAGTGGTGGAGCCGTAGGTGGCACCCGCGACGACAGCCATCCCCGAACCCATGCCTGAGGCTGGAGGATGTCTACACTCCATTGTCCACATATAACAAACAATCCAAATTAGCTAAGGGGTCAAATACAATTCGAACAACCCACCGAGCTTACCTTTCTTTCAAAAAAGACTGACAAATGTTAATAATTAGCACAGCAGCGATAATGACGGCCCCTTCTCCAGCACACGCGCGAACGGCAATATCCATGCACTGGGCTGAAGGTACGAATAGCACACGCCGAATTGAAACTGCAATTAGGTACCATATAATTACAAGACCAACAAGAAAGTCTTGTGCGTATCGCGCAGTCGCTAGTCCTAGAGTAATGATAGCGCAGAGATACGAAATGTACGTCTTTAGCCCCAAATAATCATGACCTGAGTGCTGGTTGGACATTGCCAGTTGAGTAAAAGCCACAGTAGTCACCCAAGCAAAATACATCGAGATGGGAACTTCATTGCACAGATACATCATCCAGTCAAAATGTCCTGTCCCGTGCGCATTTCGATCACTTATTGCACAAATATAGAGAAAGAGAAGTGCTACCCACAATGAGTAGATCGCTATAGTTGCTCCGGTCATGTCGTCCGACACGAACAAAAACACCCAAATGGTATTTAGGATGCATGTTGCGCCAAACAATGAGCGAACTTGTGCTGGTTGGCTGGCGTCGGCAAACATCGAGTAGCGAGGTGCAAAAACGTCTATAACAACCAGCACTGCTTGCAATGAGTACACAAGAATCCACATTACCAGAGCATAAGTTGCTGGAGTAATGAGCGTCTCGTAAGAATGCGCTATCGTCACAAACCGCTTGGCGTACACGATGTTCACGATAGCTTGCATCACGAACAGTGCAGCATTAATAAGAGCGAACCAGGTGCCTTCCATTGCGACCGAGGTTCTGACTGCGAACGTAAAAGCAATAGTGAAAAGCAATTATATCGATAAATTCTCCACAGTTAATCAAGCATAGAAAAAAAGTTTACCACGTTTTCACCCAAATTGTTAGCCTCACACCGTCCCATACACGGCGATAACTTCGTATTAACCAAAAAAAATACGAAGAAAATCCTCGCGTCTTACCGACCCCTCACTAACGACGCCACCAACTTCAATATGAAAATAATGCAATTTCTTTTTAGTCGCCATCGAGCCATCACGTCAAAAATTTCCATTGTCAACGTCATAAAGGTAACAACCAGACACACGAGAGGAGAATGATGATGACATCCAAAAGACGTGTAGGGACCCGCACCATATATCAAAGAGCTTGAGGGATCCAAAGCTGCTGCTCGAGCAGATTCCAAAGCTACCATAGAATGAAAATGACCTTGATCGCCAGCACATTCTTTAAGCAATGAAGACTTTCTGGTGGATAATCTGGATACTTCCAAACAAAGCTGCGGAGTTGAACTTACACTCTAGCCAGGCTCCGCATAAATTTGTTATATACAGACTCCCGACATGTGTCTTGGTAATCGTCGGTATCGCCGCGGACACTGAGGTAATTGGAAGGTCGTCGCCTTTGCACACAAGCAACTTGGAAAAAAGCTTAATGTTGTGTTTCTTGTGATTGCATCCATTTCATCCTGAGATGTAAATTAATCTAGTAAGTCCGTCGTTACATTAATCACTTCCGCCATTCGTGCGTCATCTCGAGATAAACGATAAAGCGACTTTTGACGCCTGTGTTTTAAAAATTTAGTTTATTGCACTTACTCACGCTGTGTAGTTTTTGCTTCGAAAATAGCCATAAACTGTTGATATCAATATCAATGTGAATATTTACATATCACAAAATATTGTTCTTGCAACACAATCTCTCAAAAACTTTACCCAAACATACACCGAACCATATGAGTTTTTTTGGAAATGTGCGGTCAAAATAATTTGTATCTTTACCAACATTTTGTTGTGATCTATGTGTGCTTAATTACTCTTTTTTGGAATTGCTATTGGTGAAAACGCAAATTGATATCAAATATCAGTACTGAGCAGTTTTTTTTGATATGCAGAACTGAGACTCACAAAAGGTACTTATGCCGATCAACAACGTGGCACGCTTTAAAACTACGCAGCTACTTCTAAATGTCCAAGTTTATTTTCTGCCTCTTCACCACGCAAATCGCTTTATACGAGTTTGAAGCGCAAAATCTTAAGCAGTACAGCACAAGTTGCTGACGGTCAGTGCATCGTATCTATCG